CTTCGAGTTCAGATCTCGTGCCCGCATTCGTCGACCTGATTGTTGATGGCCTACCATCAGACCACGATGCACACACGTTCTTCGTGATTGCGAACTTTCCAGGCTATGGCGACATCATTGCGAACTACATGTACCACAGTAAACCTCCGGTAGTTGCAGAAGATGTGCCACCCGTCTTCGCTGATGCGATAGCCGTTCCCGGTGCTGTTTCAACAACGACACTAGTGGCCAACATCTCTACTCATATGATCAACCTTTCAGAACCCTATGGTATGCGCAAGTCGTGGTCAGGTACATCTGTCTACCTCAAAGAGGGCTCGGCCCAGTTCCTTCAGGACATTATCCCGTTGTGGCAGGCTCATGCTCAGGATCTCATGGCTGCCGCCGGCAAAACAAACACAACTCTGTCACCTCTGCTCGTGTATCAGCCGATCTCAATCAACATCATCGAGTCGATGCAGAAGAATGGCGGCAATGCACTCGGGCTCGCGCCCGAAGATGGCCCGCTCGTTCATATTCAGGTCACCACGCACTGGGAGACGTCTAAGTTGGATTGCCTTGTGGAGGAAAGTGTCGCGAAGCTGATTGATGAGATTGATGCTCTGGCAGAGGAGAGAGGCCTTGCAGCAAAGTACATTTACATGAACTACGCGGGCAAACATCAGGATGTCTATGGAGGCTATAGATCCGACAACCACGACCGTTTGAAAAAGGTTTCCGAAAACTACGACCCGAAGAGGTTGTTAGAAAGGCTATGGAGGGGGTATTTCAAGGTATGAAGACTTGTTCGGTTCTTGGAGTTTCCAGAGAGTGTGCCTAATTGGCGATGTCAATCTTCAATCAACTTGCACGTAACCTCATCCATGTACATTATACCTCGATACGATCAACATGTATCAACATTGCTAATTGTACTTGCAAAATCTGCTTCCTCCAAAGCCACAATGTTAGAAAGTCAACTCATGATTGTCATACTGTTCCATATCATATCGTAGACTAATATTAATTGGCTTGCAAATAGAATGGCTGGTGCTTGGTTGGATGAAGAATTCCCATCTCGCGACCATCCATATCAATGGTTATGACTTACAATCTACTTGGCTTACGCTACTACAGTTATCCGTTCACAGGTCATTGATTCGTATCGCATCTAAGTGACATTCGAAAGAACAACTGATACGCAAACCGAGTGCAAGCCTCAATCTCAATTGAGCTCGGGCTCGACGCCAAGATTGATTAGGGGGATGGTTCAAAACTTCCGCTCAAGCCTCTTGAATCTGATGATAGGTTCACTTTGATATACCCCGAGACAGGATGGATTGAAGCTGAGCTGTGGAGATATGCCCGGACTGATTGCTTGTGTTTAAGTATTATTCCGATCATGAAAGCTTTCGCTCTCTAAACACTGTTCCACGTAGTCTGCGATATCACGGCACCGTGGGAAGGCGCCATTGGCTGCTCTGTTGCCTCCAAATCGTTACAGTCTGCTGAAACGGTGAATCACAAGTAGGCCACAATTACTGGATTATAGATTCAAATTTAACTGTCAGTACAGCCATCCAGGTTCACACTCGTATGAATGATGTGGTCTGTTCTTCTTTGTCAGACTTCAATGGGTAATATCGCGAAATTATTCGTTGCGAGAACATCAGCAATTCGCAAGGGAAACCTAGTTCAAAAACGTTGGTTGCGCCTTGGCAAACCTATGAGGCAATTATTAGTCAGCCTCTATCCTGCGATTCGAGGTCAAGCGAATAGTCTGTGGGGCACGCCGAGATAATGAAGGCGCCGATCTCGGTATATCTAATCAATCTCTCAAACTTAATCACCTATTAAGCACTGTGTTTAAATATCAATAGAAGGCCTGTCTATTCGTAGATCTCTTTGATCTGTTTCATGTCCTTTCCTAAGTTGTCCTACACCTAAACACCCCATTGTCGAATCACCCACCACGGATTGCCTCGGGCAAACCCGCCGATCACCACTTTGGCCTCAATTCATTCAACTAGCCCCGATAAGCCGACAAGATCACCCCACCCAGAAAAACATCATGGATATCCAAATTTCGCTAGCGACGATAGACGACATCCCAGAAATCCTGGAACTCACCCAGAAAGCACGCGTGGACATGTACCCGCATCTGGATGAGCAGTGGCGTGCTATGAAGGCTGAGCAAGATCTCGCAACATTCCAGAAGATATTTTTCGATCACCCAGATGGCGCCTTTATCGTCGCGCGATCAAAAAACCGTATCATAGCGACGGTTGGATATCAACACTACGATTACCGGTTTCCTCATCTCACTCTACTCCCCGATGGTGTTGTTGAAGTTGTGAGGCTTTTCGTGGTCCCAACTTGGCGGCGCGGCGGATTGGCATCCCGATTAGTTTCCGCTTTGGAGAAGGCGGCAAGAGAAGCAGGCCTGAAACAGTTGTATCTTCATACTCATCCGTTCCTCCCGGGAGCGATCAAGTTCTGGGAACGGCAGGGATTCGTCGTTTTAGATATTGATCGAGACGATGCTGTGTGGCAGACGACGCATATGAGCCGTAACCTTGACTGATGATAGAAATCACAACCAATAACGGAAGAGCCAAGGTTGCCGAAGACGAGTTCAACTCAACGATGGGAGTTTTGCTTGTGGATCTGGAAACCTCGATCCACGGAATGCGGCCATGAGATGTGGACTGGAAGGGTTGATAGTGACTTAATTGGGCCAGCTGAGCTGTTGATGCTTGTAGTAGCTGTTGGTGTACGAGAAAGTAATTGGATTGAGCAATCCCTTGATATTGTCTATATCAATTTATTGCATACAAAAGTTCTGACTGCAATCTTCCGACATCCCATTTGATCTCCAAATTATTCTGTTGTTCAATATTGAACCCAACAGTTGATACAATCGTCTAATCACAACATGACGTACGATTGACTTGGTGACATGTAGTTTCCGTGGGGCAACAATAGAACCATGGTTCTGTCTTTGGCTTGCCGGAGAATGGCAACTGCCCACACCTGTGTCCACAAGGATGCATGAGAAAGCTGAGTTGAGTTGTCGACAGGGATTGATAGAGGTCACCTCGTGTTGGTTGTGACTTCTGAACCCTGGCTAGGGAACAAGCACAGCGGGTCTGCATTGAGGCCATTTTGACTTCGCAAAGCTAGCATAATTACAATTATCTTATTAATCCCTTCATTTCATTGCCTATCACATGTCCCTCCTCTCAACAACAACATTCCATTCACGATAAAGATGTCGTCTTCCTCTCAATACCTAGAGGGGAAGAATGATCATCAAGAATATGAAAACACCCTTTTACGTTACCATGCTCACGTTCAACCACCTCCGGGCGACGACCACGTGCAAGCACTCCGCGGTACGAGGCTGCCGGCCACTTTCGACAGAACATGGATGTCGACATGCGTAATTCATGGCATTCGTCACAACGAGGCGTTTGCCATGTCAGAGCCAGTCCGCAAGCTCTGCTTGGATTCAGATGATAGGTCGTTCGCCCGTGCCCGCAACGCTCGACTGATCATGAGTAACATCATCCCGGACATGACGTCCGATGATGAAAAGCCTTATTGTATTTGGTACCCAGACATTGCTAGCGAGGATACCTACCGAGCATTGTCGACGCACTACCCCGATTTGCGATATCTTGTTGGGCGGGCCTGTGCAGTCGCCGGGTACGACGATCTATACAGCGAGCTTGGTCTTCTCCCCGAAGTCTCCGTTGCCGAGGAAGCTAGGGACAACATCTCGAAAAAAGGATCCAAGATCATATTTGACAATATCATGCGCCAACCTGTCTGTTACGCCATTCTCAGCGACTATACCCGTTCAAGCAACTCAAAGAACCCGTTGTCCCCTGCCTTCATGAACGGCGACACGGCAGTCCGGTCCTCCTTGGACGTTCGAGTTGGGCTAAAAGATTACAAGGACTGGGGAAAACATTACTTCAACATCACTGAGGACTTCAACATTGATGAGTCTTCATCAAAGACAACCAACGTTGAGGAACTGGCTCCCGAGCACATCGCGCTCTTTTACACCCCCATTTTCTCGCACTTACCGACTACCAATAAGGACGCCTTGATCCTCATGGCTGCATATGAGGGCAACATAGAGCGCTATGTACGCCTCCGCCGGCCGAGGATGCTTCACGACGAACAAGCGGCCGTCATCCGCGGCATCTACCACAACACCACCTTTGCCAAGTGGTGGTCTCTCCAGAAAATAGAATATGGCAACTATGCGATCAAGACAGCCATCCTCGCCCGATTCATCATGGTCAACGATTTGTCACATATCGCGCCCTACAACTCAGCTGAAGCCGCTATGCCACATCTGATATGGTGGCCATTGCTCCCTGCCGAGGTGACATTGAGAGAACTGGTCCGCCGTCGGCCTGATATGCATTTGCAAGTCGCTATGACGTGCATCGCGGGCGACTACAGAGACCTCTGGGACGAACTTGCGCCAAAGCCATGCTCAGAGCTCCTAAACCAGGCAACACAGAAGGAGGAACGGAGTCCAAGGTTTCCGCAAAGCCCGAGATACCCAGACAGCCCCAACCGAAACTATTACGTCGAATACCTCGAGAAGAGAGCCAGGGATCTGGGTATGAAGCCCATCGATCTACCGCGGACATGTTCTGAATGCGAGGATGCGGCCGTCCGCGATAAAGAGCCTACGACAACCTTTCTTGACCCTTGGATAATTGCTTGTAGGTACGCGATCGTGGACTCTAATCCTGACGAGTGCTACTACTGGGGCGTGGGGGGACAGCCCAATGCCACCAGTTGGGAGCTGTGTATTTGCTCGAGTGAAGAGATGAGGCAGGAGGCAAGAGATGAAGAGGGTCTAGTATTGTATCAATAGAAATTCGGTATCCCCAACGCCTCTTCTCGGCATTACGTCCGTCCACTACAGTAATTCGGACAGAACCTGTGACCGTCTCTCGATAAATGTGACAATGATGCGGCATTCTGTCACTTCATCATTGAACATAATTTCTGTTCTCAACTCCACTCCCTTCCCCACTGGCATCCTCAGTGACTGCTTCAGCATCCTTATTGACACCATCCTCGGCACTATCCTCAACGACATCTTCAGGACCATCCTCAGCACCATTCTCAACACCATCCCCGGTAGCGCTGGCATCATCTTCATTACTGTCTCTAGCATGCCCTCGACTATGAAAACTGGACCACGCCTCGACAGTGTCAAAGGTCTTCGGCGGAGCTCGAGACATATCATCAGAACGGCCCTCTTTTTCCGCGTTAATCAGCTCACGAGCACTCTCGTCGCCTTCATCTGCGGCTCTCTTCAAGCGACGCAAGATTGCGCCCGCTCTCGCTGTGAGAAGGTGAACACACTCGGTTTCGCCCAGCTGAGCTGCTATGTCTAGAGCCGTCTGCCCGAAGGAGTTCTCGATCAAGACATCTGCCCCATGCTCCAGCAAACTTTTGACTACTTCCGAATCTCCGACCATCGCAGCTTCCATGAGTGCTGTACTGCCTTCTGCGTCAATGATGTCGACAGGAGCTCCGTGTTCGATGATCTTGTCGAATGCGGCAACAGGGAGGTGCAGGGCGGCGTAATGGATCGGTGTCTTGTTCTGCGGCCCTCCAGAGACCTCCAAGTCCAGGTTCTCGCATTGCAACAAGCGTTCGAGCAAGTCCATGTTTCCCTGGAAGATTGCTGAAAAGATTGGCCGATCGTTCTCTCCGCCACCAATATCAGGATTAGCTCCCTTCTCTAACAAGAAGCAGACAATATCGAGATTTCCGTAGTCGCAAGCGGCTTGCAGTGCCGTACAGGGTACGTGCCGCTCACTGGCGAGGTTGACATCCGCGCCATGTTTCACAAGTAATTTGACCATTGGTAAATGTCCTTGCGTTGCTGCTGCTTGGAGAGCATAGCCTTCTGGGGCGTTCACATCAGCCTCATGTCCCAACAGAATCTCGGCGATTGACACAGTGCCGTCGTAAGCACTGGCAGTCAAGGCATTTCCAAATCTGTTTTGTATCCAGTCAGCAACGAATGGAAGCATTATGATGGTAAGGTACTGGGCAGGCAATGTGGAGCAACCTACTCTAACCCGAGTGCGTTGCAACTCGCTCCGAATTTGATTAGTTGCTCAACCGTCTCCTTTTTCTCGAGGTCAGTCGCGATATAGAGGCAGTCATCCAAGATTTCTTGCCCTATAGAGCCATCTGCATGCTCCCAACAAAGCTCAAGAACATCTTGCAAGTCTTCTTTATCTTTCGAAGCGGCCCTGAAAGGGATCTCGCAGTCCAAACCTGTGGACTTCTTTAGGATGAGACGGATCACATCCCAATTCTGCTCGTTCGTGGCTACCTCTAAGGAAGCCTTGAAGATGTGTGATTCGTGTTCGTAACCCAGTAGCTTCTCTACAATCTCGATTCTGCCAGAATGAGATGCCATTATGAGGGCTTTGCTGTGTTCATTAGGGGTTAGATTATCTGCTGCAGCTTCAAGGATGGCATTGAACATGGAAATGTCCGATATGAGGGCTGCCAGAGCTAGCGGTGGCATCCACGACGGCTCCTCAGAGGTCGTGTGATTCTCATCGCTAGACTCGCTTTGATCGGTATTTTCTCCCGTCCATCCTTCAAAACTCAATCTGGCACCTAATTTGATAAGCTCCGTCACCGCGGCACTGTTACCAGAGAAGATTGCTGCGTTGACAACAGGCCCAATGTTAGCTGAGCATGCATCCTTGTTCGCGCCCCTGGCTATCAACTTTGACATAGCCCGAACGCTCCCCGAATAAGCGGCCATAGCGAGCGGGGTGGCGTTTCTTCGTTCTGGTCCCGACTCATCGACTTCGGCTCCTGCGTCAAGCAGCTGATCAATGATTTCGGTCTTGCCAAAACTAGCGGCCAGGTGAAGCTAAGCAATGTTAACCTTTATGCTGAACACAAGCATCTCCATCATGGCCAAATTAAGTCGGAAATACTCACCGGCTGGTTCCTCAGCGAGTCATACTTGGTTATCTCTTCTTTATGCCCGGCTTCCAATAGAGATTCCACCAATAGCGGATAGCCGAGTGTTGCTGCAACATGTAGTGCGTTGAGATCCTTTGCAGAGATGTCACGCGACGTGAATGCTTTAGTCAACCGCTCGTACTCATTCAACCATCGAATCATGACTGAGGATCCCGCCTCCCAGAACGCAGTTTCTCTCGAGAGACGACGGGTGACGTCGGTAGTTGCTTGGCCTGCGTGCTCGAGCCAAAAGCTTGTAGCGTAAGGAAGCGCCAAGAATTCCCCTTGTTCTTCTGTTCGAGCCGTGTCTGAGTCAAAGGGACTGCTCGAACTGTCACGTTGTATGTTCTCCGCTTCCGAGGTCTCCATAATGACGGAACCCGCTGTCTCCGTATGTTGAACGTCCTGTGACTCCTGATATTGAGACTTTGGTGTTGCTGGTCTGTTATTCGACATTAGGCCTTCTGGTGAGCACGAGAGGCGCTCTAAGACGTGATCAAAGCATCTCAGAGCAAGAAAGCCGTGTTGGAGGTCGTGCTCATCTTTCGACAGGTCCAATAACTTGTCTGAATTGTTCAAGAGATGGTTCTTCACATCAATATTGACAAACCCAATGGTTGTTTCGCGGCCATGTCGAGCCTGAACGAGAAGTGGACTGCACTTTTCCACCATATGTTGCAACTGATGTCTGTGCTCCTCATCATACGGGGATGAACCGATCAATACCAGAAGTTCGATTTCCGTAGGGTCCCGATACGCAAGAATCAAGGCTCTGAGTAGCTCTTTGATGGAATCGATGTCATCGACATCAGGCCTGAGGATCTTTATGCCCAGTTAGCTGATTCTAATCAACCACAGCCATCAATAAATCCATAACGAATATCCAAATTTTCCAATCCGAAATTCTGGCAACGTACCGACGACCACGCATCGTTAAGAAGTGTGTTAAAATCTTGCGGCGCGCGTTCCAGCATGCGTCGGATATAACCATCCTTTGTTCCAGGAGGAAGTGCTGCTAGGCGCACAACGGCCACGTCAATCCATTTGGTGTCCTCGGCACGAGTTCCTATGACGCTTTCGGCAAAGTAGGAGATAGCTTTGGTGTATCCCTTCTCCTTTTGAAGTTCGTCTACTTGAACATGGGCATGCTGCTTTAGCTCTGACCTCAAGCTTTTGCCATACTTTTTATCCTCGAGATCAATGCGATGCACAGTATGATGCGGCTTCAGATGTTTTTGGATTGACTTGCGTTCACGGCTGGTGAATAACCACCGGGTTGATGCTCGTTTGCCCTTTTCAGGGGTCAAGCGCTGAATGTCAGCACCAATGAAGGCCAGCAATCTTTTGGTCGATTCGTTTGTGTCTGGGTCCGGAAGCTCGTGGAGATTATTGATAACGAAGAAGATGGTCCCGATGGTACCATCTGTGAGCATATCTCTCAAGCACTGCCAGAGATGCTCCACGCTTTGATGTACGGTGTGTGTAGAGTCGTTATTCGAATCCTTGAGAAAATGTTTCGCATAGGTAGCGAGAACCGCCTGCTGTTGGCAGAGCTGTTGTAGCAAAGACTTGAGTAAGTCTTCGGCAGTTGAACGGTCTGGCGTTTGATTGCAAAAGTAGTAGGCCAATAGGTCTGGACGATGGACAGAGTCACAGTCATCATCTTCCGCTTTTCTGATTGTGGCCTTGATCGACTGTATACTGGCAACAGATGCGTTGGTCTTTCCCTTACCCTTTGGTCCATAGATGTACAGAAAGCAGTCCGACATTTTTTCACTTGGAGAGGACCATTCCTTCCACAACGGATCATCGAGCAGCCATGATCTAGAGGTCAGCCGCCGGGACAAGTTGGTGTAGACTTTCTGCATGTCTGAGCCAGCTAGTTTTTCGATGACTCTTCTCCAGGTTTGGCTGTCTATTGCGGTTTCGCGGGTACAGTTGAATCGCCCTCTGGCAACTCGCGGAGCACTCTGAATCATTCTTTTGAGTGGTCCTCTCACTCGTTGGTATTGGGGATCCTTGAATGACTCAAACTTGACCAAATCTCTGTGGGCTCTGTAGAGGCCTGTCTCCATGGAAGAATCAAGACTTGCTGAGTCTCGGCTGACGAATTCAGCAGATTCCTGTGGCACGTTAACTTCAATGTTCTTGCGAGTCTCGAAGCTTTGGTTCGCAAACCTTTGACCGCAACTTATCAAGCATCTCTTCGGGAAAATTCTCACTGGTTAGCTTTTGGATGATGTCTGTCCAATTTGTATTCAGTTCTTCAAAGAAGCAGTGAACCTCGACCTTCTGGGATAGCTTGCCGACAGAATGCACAAAACCACGTTTCAGCTCTCGTAAGCTCTCATTTCCAGGTTTGAGTAGTGTCAGGAGCTGCGAGTCGACCGCCTTGCCAGTGTTTTCTTTGACTTGCATCTTGGCCCAATGTTCGGCTACTTCTGCAACAGGCGCACCGTTGAAGGGTGTTCCAAAGAATAAGCAGCCTGTGATGCTTTCGTACATGTCTGGATAGTGGAGCCGTTCACTTTCCGCGAGGCACAATGCTTTCGCAATTACCAGTCCGCCCATGCTATGCCCGAGCATTACGACTGGTCTCCTGGCGCATTTCTACATTCTTTTCAGCACAAAATTCTGTCAAAAACTCTTATCCCGTTGGGTTGATTACCTGTTCCTCTCTTCTCAAATTCAGGGCCTCGAGAAGCTCGGCTGCTAGGTTGACCATATACTGCTTCATCTTGAAACGTTTCGCGTATGCCGAGCTATATGCGAAGAGCATAATGCGAGCACTGGGAAAGTCTTTGGCAAGCCCATCATCGTCTTTCAGCCAATGATAGCTCTTGGAACCTTCCTTTTCGTAGAGCCAACTCTTCTCTGGGCTCGCACCGAGGCCATGAACGGCCACAATGCTGTCGCATGCATCAACGGAATTGTACTGCTTATGACTTTTAGCTGGACTTACTCAACAGTGGGATCCGGTGGGCTTCGGAGTATATCCAGCCCCAGAGTTGGGTTTGGTGTGACTTGAGGGTTCGCAGACATGGTTCTGTATGCCCGCTTAAACCAATACTGAATCTTGCCTATGTATGTCAATCGTTAGTAGTGGAGGAACGAGAGGAGATTTTGAATTTCGCGCAAGAGAAGGCGAGGGCGGACCCAAGAAGGCTCTACTAGGTTTTAGGAAGCCTTCTCAGAGCACGACAACATTATTCAGGCAGCTGAGCTAAGTTGTCCTTCGCAGCATGGAGTTGGAATTTGGTTGGCCAAGACTACTCGGATTACGAGACTCTCGAACAGGTGGGTTTCATTTTCTGCCTCAAAGCATGTGATTTGTCCTATTTAAGCCTTTCAGGTTGCGGATACATTCCTTTTCACTCCAATTCTTTGCGTATGTACATGGATTGGATGTCAGCCGCACATGATAGTCCGCGCGACAATTCCTCCTTCGAGACTTTGGGGGGCGGATGAGATCAGGCTGTCCTATGAGATCTTCCAAAAGCGAGAATGCCCCTGTAGTACCCCCCATCGGCTAATGCAGGGGACCCTGCTTGGTCCTTCTGTGGCCAATGGAATGTGAGACTTTTCAGCTGTCGAGATGACCACTACACCCTCGAGAAAACGGGAATGATAGGTAAATCGCGGGAAAATAGTCTCCAGCAACTTGGTTCGTTTTGAAGCGGCTTCGACATCGTCGGAGCTCGCTCATTTCCCTCTGTTCTCTCTCAGGTTGACTACATGCCATCACGGGTGTTCGCTACCAAACAGATAACGCAGATGGAGATGCCGTCAACGAAGGAAGAAGGTGAAGCTCAGGTACCACTCTTTTCTCATGATGCCAAATGGAGGGATGCAACTGACCTGGCAATGGAAATTGTAGCTTGCTCCCTACAAAACCCAGCTTCTGATAAAAGCATCCTCTCCAGACCAGTTGCAAAAACTCCTTCCAGTCTCCTACCGGACGGGTTCAGACAATGCTGACCTCGCTCCTGCGACACCACACAACAGCGCGTTCCTGGAGAAAGAGCTGGGGCTTGGACGTTTAGTCCAACTGACCCCGCGGCTATGGTTTGCGGGACGGCCAACCCCGACACGCCCGCTACACTATCAACGGATGCTTGGCCGGGAAATTGTCGTAGCCGAACAGATGGATCTCCATCTCGTCTGGACGACGGGGCTCATCCATATCAAACCCATTCCACGATATCTGCTGGAACCCAATTTCTGGACACATTGTCTTTCCTGCCAAGGTCACCGGTGCTCACGAACCACATTGACACCCTGCGATCGCCAGAGACTTTGGAGGTGTGCCTTGGGGTTCCTGTTCTCCTACGCTGCCCTGATCTGCCATGAGAGCGACTTCTTTCTTGCGAAGGACAACCGCTTGATTCCCAAGGAAGTTGAATGGGACGACTGGAGGGAATTCGCCACGGAGCTGAGTACGCAGACCATCTACGGGCGAATCGATGAGCGCTTCTATTACGGAGAGCTGCGCCTCAGCCGGTTGAACAAGCTGCAGTATCTGGCTTCCTTCAGTTCTTACATGCCTCCGTGGAATCGCTATGGGGATTTCTTTCACGACCAGTTCGCGTGGCTCGCCTCAACAACAGTTTATATCGCTGTGGTTCTCACAGCGATGCAAGTTGGTCTGGCTACTACACATCTTGCTGATAATGCAGCTTTTCAGTTGGCCTCTTATGGTTTTACTATCTTTTCAATTTTGGCGCCTCTCGCGACTATGGCTCTCGTTCTGGCAACCTTTTTATATATGTATGTGTCGAATTGGCTAGCGACATTGGCATTTCGAGATCGTAGACTTGCAGACATTACACGTCTGACCCAAGTCTAATGCCGTTGATGCTTTTTTAGAAGAGTCCTATGATCAACCTGGCCGCTACTGAAGATGTTCGTCCCTTGACGACCAGTAATAGATGACACGCTTTCTATCATCTGAATACCTGACACTATGCGGCCTGTGTCAGATCGTTCTTAACTGGGAATCTCAGGATGAGCCCACTACAATGGATTCGAGGCACAAGTCAATGCTAGTCACGAACGAGATCATGGATGACCATAATTAAGACCCGCCCCAGTACCCAAAGCTGCCGCCCTGCTTTTATGCTGCCAACTGATATGGTACCTGGTTAAATGATTTGGCTTTACTTTATGGCTTTGGCGGTCAAACGAAGTTGATCACATCACGGAAAAAGAGACGTTGCAGAGTAAGTTGTAAATATATATGTTTTCCATTCCAAGTAACATATTTGACGTGAAATATCTACTCGAAAGGTGGTATTAAGTGTTTGCACCTGAGTGCTCTATATCCATATTCGCCGGCTACCATGTACTAAACCAATCGAAGAGCGTTTGTAGTTAAATTTTAATGCTAGCGAGCACAGAAATTTAGAAGATGCTGCCGACGCTGCAGAGAAGGCCGCCAAGGTTGATGGCCTTGAGAATACCTCCGACGAGGCCAAGGACGATGGGCAGAAGGCCGGCAAGGACCTCAAGGAGGAGGCCAATGACACCGCCAAGGACGGAGCAGACGAGCTCCAAGAGACCCTCGATGAGGCCGTTGAGGGAGCAGAGGAGGTGGAAGACAACGGTGAGGAGGACGAAGATGATGGGGCCGAGGAGCTCGAAGATGCCTACTGAATGGTTAGCGGGAGTCACTCTGAAGGGTTGCGGATTGTTTTGTAAACTTACTGCAGCCGAGAACCTTGATGACATGCTTCAGGCAGAAGATGATGTCAAAGATGAGCTCAAGGACGCAGGAGATGATCTTCTCCTTCTCCTCACCGACAATCTCGACAGTCTCGCCAAGGCACTCGACAATGTCGCCGACGAGGGAGTGGATCAGGCTGATGATGATGGTGACCTCGCTCTTGACGAGCTTGATGATGTCGGCCTTCTTCTGGGCGATCTGGCCCTTGGTGACACCGTCGACGGTGGAGTTGATGGTGGAGCAGTGCTTCTTGACCTCGACGATGGTGTACTGGATCTTGGTGTAAACGACCTCAGTGCGCTTGACGGGGGCGTCGGTCTCGGGGACAACGGGGATGTGGACGACGGGGACCTTCGCGACGTCGGTGACATCAGTAGGGAGGCCCGGGAGGGCAGGCGCCGCGAGGGAAGTGGCGAAGAGGGAGGAGATGGCGACAAGGCCGAGGTTGAGGAACTTCATTTTTGCGGTTGGGGGGGGTTGGTTTGAATTAGCTAAAGAGTGTGGTGTAAGTTGGATTAAAGAATGACGAAGAGACAGAGCTGAAAGAGCTGGATAGTCTGAAAAGAGTGACTGAGTGAGAATGCTGAAGCTGGATGAAGAAAAGTCTCTATTCTGGCGGAGTTGTCAAAGGCTTAAGTACCTGGAGGACATGGTGTCGATGCACGAATAAGACTTATCATGACATCCTCATGGAGAGGATCATGACCCTCAACAATTCCCCGAAGATGCCGATCGCAAACCTCCACAAGGTTTCCAAATGCAGCTCGAAATTATCCCTCTAGGTGCAAGATCATGGGTCGCTTCCTAGTTTGTCTCATCAGCCTCTCACTTGGCTGCCTCTATTTCCTAATCATCCTTCCAAACCCTTGACGAGAGTTCGTCATGGCGGCAGACAGCCTCCCGTGCCCTGGCTAGTCAAATGTGAAAAGTTGACGATCAGAGCTGACCTGGCAGGGCAGCTATTCTGCTTCGGGGATTTTAGTGGGAGACGCCCCCATAAAGAACCCTTGACGTTGACGATCGTTACTCCACGGATGCTCCGCGACGACGTCAAAACGTTCGTTAGCCACATGTAGGGAGAGACACGATGAAATTAAGCTTGGCATGCTTGCTAGGTGCCGTTCGACCGTTGTCCTGCAAGCTCAAAGTAAAACTAGAAGGAAAAGTTTGCCCTTAATTGTCCGCACCTGAAGTCGATAGTTCGGTTGTCAAATCAAAAGTCAAAGTCGGTCGACTCTTTAGCGGGCAATTGTCTCAGCGCCGCTTTGTGAACCAAAGCAAACCAAACCCAATTCCGAGATTGTCGCTGAGCCTTTCTGGGCCGGAAACAATGTTTTAGTGAGCTTTTCGTGGCTTTCGGAGGCTCGGACCCCCCCCAGAGATCAGCGGATTCGCGGGTTGCTTGGCAAGGGTTGCCGATGATCATCATTTGAGACCACAGCCAAATCCCGAATTGGATGTTACCCTCTTCACGAGATCATAATCCAGAAGGTTTCGTAGGTCAGAGGCGGTGAACTTAAAACAATAGTCCTGTGATGGTCGCGATGCAGGGCGACAGGTCGTTCCAAGGCTCGTTGGATCACCAACTTGAGTTGCTGACTCTTTGACCCCCTTTTAGGGCATTCAGCTGTTGCCGCGGCTCGGTCCCGGACTTTCCAACCCAATTTACCGGGACAATTTCCCTTTCCTCGGGTACTAAAATCAGCCAGCCATTTTGAAAGATTATCTCTTCCTCTCGGTGTGGCTGATCAGATAGATCTAACGTCGCAAGCAGAGATTGCAGGAGACTGGGCGAGGAGGAAGTCGGGAGCATGCGGCGCTAAGTGAAAGTGCCGGCAGAAATTGTCATCGAAAATGGCGTTGTGATGAAGACAGCCCAGGAGTCCGGGACTCAGGAGGCAGATGAGAGATGCCCTGCACGGACAAAGCGACATCACCAGGGGAAATTCAGACAGCCCACATTGTTTGGTCTCATGCGTGCGCCAAAGTCGTCTGAATTTCTCATCCCGCTGGCTGGCTGCTGTCTTGCATTCGCTGGACGATGATGCGACCCCTGGCTTCATGTTGCGGGGGATGAGAGACTGGGGGGTCTCTTTCATCCTCTACAATCTCCTCCATCGAGTATAACCAATGGCTTTAACCCCCTTTTCGTGGCCATTATAGCATTGCAAGAAGGATTTTGGCTCATCCCCCCGGCCGATACGATGATGATATGGGCGGAATTGCCGACATAGCTCTCCGCAAGGGAGCGCGAGGCGCGAGGTCGTGTTTTACACCAGAATTGTCTCTACGTGTATCAAGTTGCCGATCCATCCGCGGCAAGGGTGGGGCTAGGTCATTCAAGCAGGTAAGTCTTACCGATTGGAAAGACGAAAGAAAAAAAATACTGGTGTTTTGATCTTCTTCCTTTGGGAGATCGGCGGATGAATTCGGGGATCAGCCGCATGGGAACCGAAGAATGTGAGGTCGCGTGCGAATGCGGGAGACAAAACCACACAAGCCTTTCGTGCATTCTCAAGTTAATGGAAACAATGAGCTTCCCGTGCCTTGGCAAGACGCGGGAGTGGCAAGCTGGTTGGGAACTCTCTAAACACCAAGACTTGGCTTCTAAGTTTCTTTGCTTCTTCAATCTTAGGTGGTCCGCTCAACTTCTTCAACGTTGATATTCCCTTTTTTGGATGATGCGTGTCACCGCTCCGACACTCGATCGCCAGTACGCCAGTACCATTTTGAGCCTCGGAGGAGCCCGACCACTTACGAAGCCTACCGCCGAGTCTCACTCTTCGAAATGTCTGAGAGCATGCCATCTCAAGGAGAAGCCTGCACAGAGTTCTGGGCATGACAGATGGCAGGTGACAGATGACACCAGACGCGAGCGCCGTCCAATCCTCCCCTCGTGTAATGCGTTGCACCTTCGTTTTCATCATCGCCTTCAGCTTCATCCCATCTCGAATGCATGTGTCAGCGCAACGCTCACCACTGACAGCCACATCAGCCGCAAGTGGCGGACGCGAACCAGGCACGCAGGGAGATCCTATCCTTGGCAAGTGAAACATCAAGCGTTCGGGCCTATCACGGCGTGGTCGCTGCAGCGGTGACCCACGTCCAGACGGGCCCAAGACGGGTTTCACAAAGCTTTTCAGTCTTCTTTTCCCCTTCTTTTCAGGGGAGATGGCTGCGCGGTGGCCGCGGCCGACATGCTAGGCGGCTGCGACCCGAGTCGGTTATGCCAGCCGACGGTGACTGTGCCTTTGTCGGTGATGCTCTCGGTTCGGTTGGGCGCGTGGTGCAGCCGCCGTGAGTAGCGGGGGCAGATCAAGATGGAGGATCCTTGAGGTAGATCTGTTTGGCTGACTGAGTTCAGCGACGCATACGTTTACATGTCGGGAAAAACTCTGTGAAATGCGCACAAGTTGGTTCGAGTTCTTCGCATGCTCGCAACTGAATTACGTCAAACGAGTCGTGGCGATGGAAAACCTCCCGATGCAATTGACCGAAGATGTGCCTTTCGCGGTGTCGCTAGTTCCATGTTTCTAAGTCCGAGTGACACACCCAAGTGAGTGAGGGCGGGAGAGAGGCTTTGCTCCTCAACACTCAGACCTGCAGTTGTCAGGTCAAGTCGTATAGGAGCGAAGTGTTATGCCCTGTCAGTGTCAAAGTCATCCAATGAGTTACTCCTTATGTCGGGCGTCATTATTGATGTCGTCCAATGTTGGCCGAATCTGCGGACATTGGCCGACACCTGGTCGCTATTGAAGCCTTACACCGAATATTGTCGCCCCCCGCCCCACCACACGTTGGACGTCGCGAAGGGAGGTGAAGGTGTCGCGACGTTTCACCTGCTTCAGACATCGATGGGGCTGCTCGTCTCGTTCCTGGATTTTTACTGCATTGGGATAGGGTCGCGTTTGGGACGACGTCTGGCTAGCGAACGCAGTCCCAAGCCATGGCCATCACCAACCCAAACCCATACGAACAATAGCCGCGGAGATTCACCGTACGCCTTTTGGGCCTCCCTGTACTGCTGTTTCGCAGACTTTCTCCATCATGGACGTCGAGGTCTGGAGAGTCAAGTATAAAGTCTAATGATCGTCCGCCTCTAGGTTGTGCTTTCCGCTTCTCAATTCAGCAGCTTCACTTCTTCGTTTGTATTCCATTCTCATCTCATCGCCGATTGATTCGCGCGGATTTAAACTTATTTCCAACTCTTTCACTTCTATTCAGAACTTTTTTTCCAATCTAATCCGGCTCGGATCCGAATCATCGCTTTAATCAAGTTACCCATACTTCAAAATCCCCACAACTCTCTCAAAATGGTTTCCAAGACGATCATCTTCGCTCTCGCAGCAGCTACTTCTGTTGCCGCACACGGCAAGGTTGCACAGGTCACTGGCGATCTCGGTGGCAACGGCACTGCTCTCGCTATCCAGGGTGGCGTTGTTCCCGGCCCCGGCCCCAACCGCAAGGTAAGTTCACGAACCCATCATAGCTAAAGGACCCAGGAGCCCAGAGGACTGACTTGTTCCAACTCACTCAGACTGAGCTCGACACCACTGTCTTCAAGAGCAAGAACATCATGACGGACGGCATGGGCAAGACCACCGGCGGCGGCAAGGTCCAGGCTGCCGATATCTCCCAGGCCATGGCTCTGTCCGGCGATACCCTCCCTCAGGTCTCCTCCACTGGCGGCAGCATCTCCGGCACCTTCCACGTCGTCACCACCGACGGTGCCGGTCCTCTCCGCGCCGTTCTCGACCCCACCGGTACCGGCGCGTTTTCCCAGGGCACTGAGCTCACTGTCACTCAGCAAGTTCCCGGCAAGAACGGTAACATCAGACCCAATGGCCAGGTTCCTGGCGGCAAGCGTTCCCTCTGGGAGCGGGCCATGAGCGTCATCGAAAAGCGTGCTTCCAACGTCAACAAGGACTTC